ATACCATATACTCTCATACCATATACACACATACACTCATACCATATAGCCAATATACATACATATACCATATACACACATACATATACTAAAATGCCATATACCTATATACCATATATTCTTAATTACAGTATAACAGCATAATATAATTATAGTATAGTATAAATAAAAAACTGACAACCTATGGATTGTTTTTGTATTGTTGGTTGTATGTGTTTGTCTGGCCCAGATAGAGTTTTGGGGTTTTGTTTTTGTTTTTGTACCACAGGGTCTCACTCTGTCACCCAGGCTGGAATGCAGTGATGCAGTCATAGCTCACTGCAACCCTGAACTCCTGGGCTCAAGCAATCCTCCTGCCTCAGCCTCCCAACGTGCAGGAATTACAGACATGAGCCACCAAGCCTAGCCAGTTTTTGTTTCTATGAAATTGACTGCCAGCTTTTAAAAACTAGGAGAGTTCCTGTAATAATCTAGAGTCCTGTTTTTCTTGACAATTCAGTCTGGCAGTGCGGGTTAAGCTGGCAAAAGCCATATCCTTTACAAATTCCAAAACTTCACCTTATCCCCTGGCCCCAAAAAAAGCTGACGTATCCAACAGGCACAGGAGACATTCAGGTATCTCAGCTAAGAGCTCAAGCTTTGCGGCAGACAGGCCTGGGTCCGAAGGCCGAACTCTACCACAAACCATGGTTGATCCTTGGGTAGGTAACTTGCTTCTCTGTGCCCCAGTTTACACTTCTGTGAAGCAGAGATATTATCTACTTTAAAAAGTTGTTGTAATTTTTAAAAAAAAAAAAAAGTTTTAATTTACAGAGAGTAAAATTCACTTTTGGGGGAATAAAGTTCTATGAGTCATAACACCTGCATAGATTCCTGTAACCACCACCACACCAAAACACAGAGCAAGTCCATCTCCCAAAGAATCCCCTCCCAATGTGTACGCAAACCCTCCTCCACTCCAACCCCCGGCTATCACTGATCTGTTCCCTATCTCTGTAATTCTGCCTTTTCTGATATATATATATTTTTAATCCTGTTTTGTTAGCTACAATAATTTCATCATTATCCAGGGTGCTCCCTTTCATTCTCCCTGTCTGTGGAAAGTAGTTCCATGGCTGACAGATAGAATCAAGCCCCATAAAGCATTTGCTCAGTCATTTGCCCATAGCATTTGCCCATAAAGCTGGGCAGTCACTGAGAATTCCTTAACATTGCCCTCTTTGTTCGGATCTCCACCCCACCCACGGCACTTCCCTCGGTCCCTGGCTGATCCTCTTCCCGTTAGGTCATTGCAATCGCAGCCCACAAAGCGCCCACATTCCCAATGCTCTTGTTCTTGCTGATGAAGATAAGAAGTGTGTCCTGGGACCGGAAGAGCTTCCAGGGGAGACACAAGAGGGCCTCGGTTCCCCTGGTGCCCACACACCACCATGCCTGCCCACCAAGACACATGACAGGAAGAAAACTTTCACTCTCACAACAGATCAAGCCAAACTGAAAGACCCACAGTGTCACGAGGAAGCCCAGTGACCACCCGGTTTCAGGAAAGAGCTATTCTTGACAAGCATGACTGGCAGAGAGGAAATGTCACTGTGAGAACGCCTCCAAACAGCATTTCTTTTCGGGGTGTGGAGGTGGAAGGAGGGTATAAGAAAGCAAAACACATACTTGGGAACAATGAATGTTCCCAAGGAAGCACATGGGTCCCTTTTCACTCAAGTGAGGAACCAACCGGTTGATCTGAATTGGAGCCCTGAAAGCAACTGCCCTGACTATTCTATTACATCTGGGCTGTACTCACAGATGAGCCCGGATTGGAGCCAGGCTGTGTTCCGGCCCTGCTGCCTCTGGGATGCTGGGTACCCCATGCCTCCTCTCCAGATCTCCCTCAGTTTCTCCATTTGAAAATGGCACTGTAGGACAAGATGGACCTGGAGGGCACCAACCACCAAAGGCGTGGAATTCACATGAGCGTTACTGGGCACAGGTGGCCGCCCTTTCTTTCTGAAATCCCCATACTGGAGCTTCAGGGCAACACACTCCCCTGGTGTGGCTCCTCCACCCCTTGCTTCTCCTCCTCGACCAGAACTCAGGGCCTCACTGCTGCTCATTGCTCTACTCCTGACTTGCAACCTCAGTAAGCCAATGGGACTGGAGTCTTTGCTGAGTGAGGCTGTCCTATGCACTGGGGGATAATTAGCAGAAACTCTGGCCACCGATCATTAGATGCCAGCAGCGTCCCCATCACCCCCTCAAAGTCATGAGAACTACCACTCTAACCCAATCCCACGTACACATCGAGATTCCCAGAATTATACCTCCTGCCTGAACCTGGCCACAGGGCACCCTAATTCCTGCCTCCAGCTGCCCTACTGACCTCTCCACCTAGGGGTGTAACAGCAACTCAAATTTACAGAATCTAAACTGGATCCTTGACTTATCCTGCCATACCCAGATCTGTCAGCACAATTACTGACACAACCTAGAAATTCTCTGTTGTGGGGCCTGTTCTACATGTTGTAGGTTGTTCGGTGGTATCCCTGGCCTCTCTCCATTAGGTGCCAGGAGCACCTCAACCCCAGGTGTGACAACCAAAAATGTCTCCAAACATTGCCAGGGGGTGGGGAAGTATTACAGAATTATCCCCAGATGAGAATGGCTGACTGATGTGGACTATTTGAAACACAGCACCGACGGCTTCCTCTGAGATGTGAAGTCCATTCACATCCCTCCTGCGCTGAACCCTCCACACCAGGGTCTATAAGGTCTGTACTATCTCTGACTCCATGGACTGGCCTCACCCTCACTCACTGGGATGCAGCCACCCTGGCCTCCTTGCTAATCCTACAGCACACCCAGTTACTCCTATAGCACACCAACTTAATCCTTACCCTAGAGTCTTTAAAATCTCTTATTCCTGGCCGGGCGCGGTGGCTCACGCCTGTAATCCCAGCACTTTGGGAGGCCAAGGCGGGCGGATCACAAGGTCAGGAGATCGAGACCATGGTGAAACCCCGTCTCTACTAAAAAATAGAAAAAAAATTAACCGGGCGCAGTGGCGGGCGCCTGTAGTCCCAGCTACTCGGGAGGCTGAGGCAGGAGAATGGCGTGAACCCGGGAGGCGGAGCTTGTAGTGAGCCGAGATTGCGCCACTGCACTCCAGCCTGGGCGACAGAGCGAGACTCCGTCTCAAAAAAAATAAAAAATAAAAATTTAAAAAAAAAAAAAAAAATCTCTTATTCCTTCTACAATCTTTTTCCTACTGATACTGACATGGCTGATTTTTCTTTTCATGTAAACTTCAGCTCAAATATCACCTCTCAAAGAGGCCCTGTTTAACCCCTCCACCTAAGGAACCGTGACGTCTGCCTCGCAACTTGCCGATCTCTCACCTCACCACATTACCTTCCAGACATCCATCATGGTGTGAACTGTCTATCTTGGTGTGAACTGTCTCTCATGCTGTGAACTGCCTTATTATTTGTCTTTATTATTTTCTCTATCTTTCTAAAAACCCAACCTCTACAAAAGCAGGTCCTTAGCTGACTTGCTTTCCACTCTATCTCCATGCCTAGAATAGTGCACAGCACATAATAGATGTTCAAGAAAAATCAGCACTGAGGATGCAATGAATCAATCAATAACGAATCAATAGCAGCTGGGTACAGTGGCTCATGCCTGTAATCCCAGCACTTTGGGAGGCTGAGGCAGGTGGATCACCTGAGGTCAGGAGTTCGAGGCCAGCCTGACCAACATGGAGAAACCCCGTCTCTACTAAAAATACAAAATTAGCCTGGCGTGGTGGCGCATGCCTGTAATCCCAGCTACTCGGAAGGCTCAGGCAGGAGAATCGCTTGAACCTGGGAGGTAGAAGCTGTGGTGAGCTGAGATCACACCATTGCACTCCAGCCTGGGCAACAAGAGTGAAACTCCATCTCAAAAAAAAATAAGAAGGAGGAGGAATCAATAATGGGCCAGGTGCAGTGACTTACGCCTGTCATCTCAGCACTTTGGGAGGCTAAGGTGGGAGGACTGCTTGAGACCAAGAGTTCAAGACCAGCCTAGGCAACACAGCAAGACCCAACCACTACAAAAAATTAGCTGAGTACGTAGCTAAAATCTAGCTAGGCCTGTAGTCCTAGCTACTCAGGGCGGGTGAGGCAGGAAATAGCTTGAGCCCAGGAGTTCAAGGTTGCACTGAACTATGATTACACCACTGCACTCCAGACTGGGTGACAGAGTGAGACTCCATCTCTAAAAAAAGAGTTATTATTATCACCATCACCATCATCATCATCATCATCATCATCATCCAGGGAATAAAGACCAGAGTGTAAGAATTAGAAGAAGAGAATTAAGGAATATCAGAGTATGCTGCACGTAGGAAAGGTAAGTACTGATTCCTCCTACTTGCTTCTGTGCCATGGGTATAACTTACAAATAGAACAGGGTTAATGTGGTCAAGGGCAAATGAGGTGGAAACACTGGCCTGGATAAAAGCACTTTGGGCCAGGCATGGTGGTTTATGCCCGTCATCCCATTACTTTTGGAGGCAGAGGTGGGTAGATCACCTGAGGTCAGGGGTTTGAGACCAGCCTGGCCAACATGGTGAAACTCTGTCTCCACTAAAAATACAAAACTTAGCCAGGTGTGGTGGCACATTCCTGTAATCTTAGCTACTCAGGAGGCTGAGGCAGGAGAATCGCTTCAACCCAGGAGGCATACGTTGCAGGGAGCAGAGATCGCACGCACCATTGCACTCTAGCCTGGGCAATAAGAACGAAACTCCTTCTCAAAAAACAAAAGTAATTTGTATGTCAATAAGCCCCAGGAAAGTCCGTCCTTGTTCTTTTCACAGATCATTTATCACCTTCATCCACTGAAACTTTTGCATTTTTTGCATACAGAAAAGAGTTGAAGGTTCAAGAACCACATACAAAAGAGGATACGTCATTTGCAAAAATATCCACAGAAAGACAGTGGCAAAAATTCCAACTGACCCAGGTTCAGATTCAGGATGCTGCCAGTGGTGGAGGTTTTGTCCGTTTTCGTCGTGATAGGAGTTGACAGTTGAGGAGAGAAGGGCTTTGGGCTGCCGGATAAACTCCCTGCTTGTCCCGTCTTGGTGGAGGCTGGTGAAGCTGAAAAAGTATGGCATTGTTAAAAGACAGGTTTACAAATAAGCAAGTAAAATGCGTAGGTGTGGCGTAGGGAGAGAATGGAGAGATTATGAAATTGTGTTTGATTTCAACAAGGCCGCTACAGCATCACGGATGGGGTGGGGTGGGGCGTGGCAGGTTGGCCATTCATTTTCAGCAAAGGGCTTTAACCCGACGTGAAACCGTTAAAGCCACAAATGAAGACGGTCTCCCCAGTTACTCTGTTAAGCACAAAGCTCTAAGACAAATCGGCTAAGCTGCCACTGAAATTGGTTTGGCCCATTCACGGGTATAAATCTCAACATAAATAGCGATTAAACCAACCCCCACATGGTCCAGATGCAGAAAACGGGAGCCAGCCTTACAAATGCGTGTCATCTGTTTGTGGAAAGACACCATGGCCAGCTCGCACGCAGCCGCTGCACCTGCCAGGGACCAACTTGGTCCCTTGGGAAATCTCCAGCTCCCATTTCAAAAGTTCTTGAGGCTGTGTAAAGCCAAACCCAGTACCAGATGGAGTGAGGGAGATGTTGGTAAATTATGTCCTTCTTTACCATATTTCAAACTTTTACAGGAGGAGAGAGAACTGTACCTATGCCTAAGGCTTTTAAAAATACCTTAAAATGACCTACAACCTGCTTCTCCTCTGCCTTACGTCACAGGGATAGGACAAGAAACCACTTATGTTTAAAAAAGCAAGCATTCATAGGGGCCAACGAGCGTCCCAAAGATTCTTCAAATCCTGCCCCTTTGCCCTTGCCCCTCCATGGTAGTGGGACTGTCCTGTTAATGCCTCTTAGGTCCATTTAAAAACAGCTGGGACTAAAGGCATCACTAACAACAATGACAACCAACTCTTCCAAGAAGAGCAAGAAACATTCTGAGGTGATCTGGTGCTTGAAAGAAATTTCTGGATGGCAAATCGGAGCTAGGAACTGAGACTCCCCAGGGGCTTCGAAAATGCTGGGACATTTGTGTGGGCACTTGCCTCAGTTGCCTCACCTGACAAATTAGAAAACTCAGAACAAGGCTTCAGTGTGTTAAAACTCACATACCATTCGGCTGGTGAATCCAAGTGAGCTAGGCAGCTCTGGTGCCAGGACCTGCCTGCATTACTGTTAATGTAATATAGTGGGAAAGACTCCAGATGTAAAGAGGCCTGGATTCAAGCGCGGATCAGAAGCCAGACACCGTGGATTCAAGCCCTGGCTCAGCTGTTGCCCTGCTGTGTAACCCTGGGCCAGTTACTGGCACCTCTGCCTCTCTCTTCCTGGCAGCAGCAAAGAGAGACACTAATAATATGATACAAAGGGACAATAACAGTAGCTACATCTCATCAGGCTGCTGTGAGGATTAAATCAATCATCTGAACAGTGCCTGGCATCCAGTAAGTACTCTGTTACTTGCTATTAGAGTGGTTTTATTTTCTATTTCCCCATTAACCTCCAGGGCTTTGGGGTTATCCTCTGAACCACTGATTCTCAGCTATGAGCAGTTCTTCTTTCCAGGGCACACTGGGCATTGCATCCAGACATTTTAAGAGAGTGGGGGGTTGCTACTGGCATCTAGGAGCTAGAGACTAAAAAGGTGCTAAATCTTCTACAATGCACAGAGCAGCCCCCCACAAGAAAGAGTTATCTGGCCCCGAACATCAACAGTGCTGAAACTGACACGCCACATAGGGATGAAGTAGGCATGCAGCTGGGAATCCTCTTCCTCATCCGGAAATGAGAAGGGAGTGAGGATCAATGTCTTCGATCTATGTCAATTGGTGCCCAGCAAGTGCTCAATATATATGAGAAATTGTTTTAAGAAATAAGTTTTCTTTGTTTTTGTTTTTTTGAGATGGAGTCTCACTCTGTCACCCAGACTGGAGTGCAGTGGTGCCATCTCGGCTCACTGAAACCTCTGCCTCCCGGATTCAAGTGATTCTTCTGCCTCAGCCTCCAGAATAGCTAGAATTTCAGGCTCCTGCTTACCACACCCAGCTATTTTTTGTATTTTTAGTAGTGACAGGGTTTCACCATGTTGGCCAGGCTGGTCTGGAATTCCTGGCCTCAAACGATGCGCCCACCTCAGCCTCCCAAAGTGCAGGGATTACAGGCATGAGCCACTGTGCCCAGCCTAGAATTAAGTTTTTAAAACAATAAATCTGTTTTACTGCAAGAATTAATAGAATTGGCCTAGCACGTGGCATGCCACATTCCTTCACTAGGGGGTTGCTATTATTATTACTAGTCCTATCACTGGTACTGTAAGAAGTAGAACTGAAGTGTTTGTTACACAAAGAAACAAGAAAAGGCCAGGTGTGGTGGTTCACCCCTGTAATCCCAGCACCTTGGGAGGCTGAGGTGGGAGGATCACTTGAGCTCGGAAGTTCGAAACCAGCCTGGGTAACATGGCGAAACTTCATCTCTACTAAAAATACAAAAAATTTAGCCAGGCATGGTGGCACATGCCTGTAGTCCCAGCTACTTGGGAGACCCAGCTACTTGGGAGACTGAGATGGGAGGATCCATTGAGCCTGGGACGTCAAGACCGCAGTGAGCCGTGATCATGCCACTGCACTCCAGTCTGGGACAGAGAGGGAGATCCTGTCTCAAAAAAAAAAAAGAGAGAGAATATATGAAAATAAAGGCATTTTAAGAGAAGTATTACCAATAAAAATCTTTAGCATTCGAATTTTTAACATTATCAATTCATTTACGTTCTACCTCATTCCAAAAGCAATTTGCAGCTGCTCAAATATCTGTGTAATACATTTCCCTTGAGGATTCAAGATCGTGGCTTCTCTAATTGTATTCCTGTAAGCAAACTAGCAAGGTCTAACAGGAAGGGCCTTCCTATACTATCGAGTACCCTGCTTGGGACTGCAGAGAACTTTGATAAGGACGCCAAACCCTAAAGGGTAGCAGGAACAAACAAACAAACAAAAGCACGCAAAGATGCCATCCTGCATAGAACACAGCCAAGTGAATCCACATTTTCCTGCTCGACAGGTCAAGTTTGATTGTTTGTTTGTTTGTTTTGAGACAAGTCTTGCTCTGTTGCCAAAGCTGGAATGCAGTGGGGCGATCTCAGCTCACTGCAACCTCCGCCTGCCAGGTTCAAGCAATTCTCCTGCCTCAGCCTCCCGAGTAGCTGAGACTACAGGTGTGTGCCACCATGCCCAGCTAATCTTTTTGTATTTTTAGTAGAGACGGGGTTTTGCCACGTTGGCCAAGCTGATCTCGAACTCCTAACCTCAGGTGATCCACCTGCCTCGACCTCCCAAAGTGCTAGGATTACAGGTGTGAGCCACCATACCCAGCCTATTTTTATAATTCTGTATATACATTCATGTGTGCTAAAAAAATACTAACTAGAACAAGCCTTTAGTTTGAGATATATTTCCTTTGTTAATAAACAAGTGTTGAGATTTAAGAGGTATGTTCTAAATATTAAAAAATGGTTTTAAGCATAGCACTTGGATATGGCAAGAACAAGCGTGGCAGGAAAACACTGGCTTCCCATGGAGATGGGTCTGGTTCATGCTCCCTAGCCAGTAAAGGGCAGGGCCCATTCTCCTAAGGCATCTGGGACTGCAAAGCTTCATGGAGTCAGGAAAAGGACATACATGACAATCACTAGCAACCCACAAGCCTCACACCGCAAAACCCTCCTCTGCATCTCCCTGAGAAACAGGTCTCCTATGTCTACCTCCTAGTGCCTCCAATCCTACCTCCCTAGTCTGTGAAACACCCTGCACCTTCCTTGTCCTCCCAATATCATGAATGCCATGGCCACCCACCCAGTGGCTCAAGGCCAAGCATACCTGGATCATTCTTTTTTTGGGGGATGGGAAGGGTGGCGGGGGGAGAGATGGAGTTTCACTCTTGTTGCCCAAGCTGCAGTGCAATGCTGCGATCTCAGCTCACAGCAACCTCCACCTCCCGGGTTCAAACGATTCTCCTGCCTCAACCTCACAAGTAGCTGGGATTACAGGCGCCCGCCACCATGCCCGGCTAATTTTTGTATTTTTAGTAGAGATGGGGGTTTCACCATGTTGGCCAGGCTGATCTCGAACTGGTGACCTCAGGTGATCTACCCACTTCGGCCTCCCAAAGTGCTTGGGATTACAGGTGCGAGCCACTACATCCAGCCCATTCTTAATTCCTCCTCTGCTCTCATGCCTGAACTACCCAACTCTTCAGCAAGGTCTCTGCACTCCTCTTCCTACACATATCCTACATCTCTGCGCTCATCTCCGCTTCCACTGCTATCACCCTAGTCCATGCAGTCTCAACAGGGACCGTGTGGCCCCCAATGGGGCAAAAATAATTCTTGGGGGGGTGAAAAAATCTTACTATTCCTTTTATGTACAAAGCACGTGTGTGTGTGTGTGTGTGTGTGTGTGTGTGCATAGACAGTACATAAACAGATCTACAATATTTTCAGATTTCATAAGAGTCCATTCTCAGGTAAGTATCTGCCCAAAATTGAAAATAGGTACCCAAACAAATCCTTGGATACGAATGTGCACAGCAGCACTATTCACAATAGGCAAGAGGCAGAAACAACCGACTGTCCATCAATGGACAAACTGAGGTAGCCACACAATTGAATGTTACTGAGTCACAAAAGGAACGAAGTTCTGATATGTGCTGCGGTGTGGCTGACTTAAAAACATGATGCTAAGTCAAGGAAACCAGACACAAAAGGCCCATATTCTTTCATTTCACTGAAACAAAATACCCAGAATAGGTAAGTTAATTCAAACAGAACAAAAATTGGTGGTTGTCAGGGGCAGGCTGTGGGGTGAGAGGTAGGGGTGGAATTTTGTGGGGGACGGGGAGTGGCTGTTTAGTGGGTACAGGGTTTTATTTTGGAGTGTCAGAAATGTTTTAGAACTAGATAGAGGTGGTGGCTGCACAGCACTGTGAATGCACTAAATGCCACTGATCTGTTTAAAATGGTAAATTTTATGTTATGTGAATTTGACC